TTTATTTTATTTTTAATTTTCTATTTTAATTTTTGGCTACTTTTAGATCACATATATTCATTTTTATCATAGCGTATAAGTTTGACTGTATTCAAATAGGTTCCACAGCATGTTGCTGGCAGCATGTTGCTAGCAACATTTGTGTTTGCTAGCAACATTTAAATTGTCAATTGATTGCAGCTGAGATTTGAAGAGTCATAATAATTGAGAAAGCAAATGAAAAATAAAAAAATAGAAATTAAATAAAATAATTATTGCTTGCTACCATGAAAACGTGGAAAAAATCATTAGTCAGCATATAAATGGAGACAAGAAATATACATATATGCTAAATGAAGCAGCAGACTATATCCACTTAATATCTACAACCTATTTATATTTCATATATCTACACATATTATTCATATTGCGTTAACATAAACAATATGTTGATTCTCTACCTGCAATAGTTTGACTATTTCAGCTCGAATTATATATTTATTTAGAAGGCTCGCAAATCCCACATTAATAAAATATTTAAATGCTTAGCTAACATTTATTGCATAAGCTGCCTGCTAGAAGAATGATTTTACAACTATTACAAGTAAGCCGGTTATTTGGGTTTTTGTTTTGGTAGCAGGGCTCAGGGTTTGTCCGACCGACTCGTGCCCCTCCCTGAGGCATTATCATATGGCAGCTGTTGCTGTTCCGAGCTGGAAATTTGAATCTTTTGCATTGTACAAACTTTGCTCGGATGTGTGTGGGCTGTCGGTCAACCCTTTCAAGAGTCCAACTGTCAAAAGTACATTTGCCTTGGTTACGCCACAGAAATATCCTCGAAGCATGTAATGACAATATCAGCCAACGCCAGCGACCCTTTAACTCCCTGAACCAAAGAGCTGGCCGCGGGGGCTTTGGGGATTTGAGAGGTTGGCCGCTCTTAGCTGTTGCTCCACTGATGAAACTTTAATGGCACAAACACGCACTCCACACAGACAGAGAGACAGACAGACAGACAGACAGAGAGACAACCAGGGCCATGTGTCCAAACAATTTAAGCTAGCTGCTTTCAGCTTTCACAGTTCTGTTTTTTGTGCCTTCTGCTCGATTTAATATCGTGTGAAATGTGATGCACATTCCACTGGCTAATGGCGGCTAATGA